ACTGACATTGATGTCTTGCTCAAGTTTCTTCTTGATGCGTAATGCTTCATTCTTAGCTTTGGTTTCACTTTCGAGAGTCGCCTGCATACTCTCCAGTGCCCTTTGGTGGTTCTTTCTGGTATTCTCAAATTCCTCTTCTTTTTCTTGGATACGTTTTTCAATTTCTGCTCTGATTTGAGATACTTCGACTTGCGCTCTCATAACCTTGGCTTCTTCAGCTTCTAACGCTGCCTCTGAATCTTCTAAGGCCTTTTGCAATTCTTCTTTCTCTGATTCTAGCCGGCGAACCATCTTTTGTAATTCATGTACAGAGCGACCACCTTCGGTAAGTTGGTCAGTAAGATCTTTGATTTCAATAGACAATGACTTGTTTTCACGGCGGAGACTTTCCATTTGCTACAAAGTGAATATTTTTTTATATTTTACTTTCCACTGGATAAGAAGACAATGATTTTGATTAAACTTAAAACCACTGAAGATTTTAAAAAATAGTACTTCAAGCAGTTCGTCTTGTGCAGTCTTTGACTTGAAAAGTTCTGTTGAAAGTGTTCTATTGTCCCTTTGAGCGGCGTCAAGTTCTGCCGCTAGATCATCGCACTTCTTTTTCCATTCTTCAATGATTTTATCAAACGCCTTTTGCTTCTTTTCCAAAGCTGCTGCATATGCTGCCGCTCTTTCAACGTCGACCTAAACAAGAATCTTTCAAAGTTTATTGAGTGAACTGACCTTTTAGTTCAAGATTCCCTACCGAGACAAAGACTCGGAGGATTATTTTTTTTTGACGGTTTTTGAGAACTTTAACACCTCAAGCGGAGTCAGCAGTAAGGTAATGAATAACCTGTGCATCATCCAAGTCACCCATGAGTTTATGCCGTGTTTTTTCAAGAGACGCAATTTTGGCATTTGCTGTTTCATTAACGTCTGTAAGCTCTTGAACTTTTTGCATAAGCTTTTTTCTGAAAGGTGCGAACACTAATACATTATTTCTTATACAGAAAAATGAAGTGGACTGCAACTGGACAGATTCAAATGCGCGTTAAAAAATAAATTACTTGGTTTCCTCAATTTCTTCCAATCGTGCTAAGCCCTCTCCTTCGAACTTGGCCTTCCACTGTTGAATTTCTGCGTTCAACTTGCTCATTTGGCGCATACATTCTGCTTTAGCCTAGAAGAAACTTTAATTAATTGGAAATTATTTAGGCTGTAATGAACGTGTTGCTTGGCGTGTAAAGGATTCAAGGATATACCTCCGCCTCTTCATCGGCATGAATTCGGAGATTCTCGTTATCATGTTCCAAATTTTTCACTAGAGCTGCTAAACTCTGCCGTTCCCTTAAACGATGGAAGCAAACTGAGGTAAAAAAATAAAAGTATAGAAGTGTTTCATCCTTGGAAATTGAAGAGTCAAAAAGAATACAAGTTGGAAACCTGGATTCATCTTCTGCTGTGCGCTTTGCCTCCTCAAGTTGGCTAAGGAGTTGGGTTTTTAATCGATGAAGGCTGTTGACCTTGGAAATTTATGTAAGATTAATTACAGAGAATTACAAACCATTAATACAAATCAGAACCTATTTTGCAAAAGAAGTTTATTAAAAATCTGTCACTTTCTTGGAAAGCTGAATATCTTGATGTAAACCTGGTTTTCCATTTCCTCAAGTTGGCGGGCTAAATCTGCATTTTCGTTGGTTAGCCGGGATTTTAGCGCAGTAAAATCGTTAATAAGCCGGGTCTGAAATGAGAGGTATAAGAGCCATCATGCTTTTGAAATCTCACTCTTAATTATCACTGCGTTACTTGCAGAAATAACAGTTATTTTTAATGCAAAGTGGTATTGTAAGTTGTAGTTGAAGTAATACTCTTTGGAAATGACGTACCTGTTCATCGGCTTTTGCTTGCAGTTCGGAAAGCTGCATTTCAGTCATCTTAGCCTGCTTTTCAAATTCTTGCTTCTGACGATTCTCCGCATCAGCATTTGCATTTGCGTCCTCCAAATCACGAAGTAGTTGGGCTTTGTCCTTATCAACTTTGACCTTCATTTTTTGCAATTGTTCTAACTGATCAGTCAATTCTGCGACAGCATCATTATGCTTCTTACGCAGTGAAGCAACTTGCATTTCGTGGTTCATGTTATTTTCCTAAAAACCATTTGAAATCTTTTTTCGTCTTGAGTTGATTTGTCCGAACATTAAATAATTTTAGCGATTCTGTTCTTAATAAAAGGATATGACTACTGGGTAATGGAGATCACTGTTATACTACAAACGCAGCGAGAACGCTCTGCAATTTTTATTAAAAAGATTTTTAAAAAAAGTTTTTATAGTAGTCTAATTGTTTGGATTATAATATACCTCTAAGTCACGTTTTAGTTTAGCCATTTCGGCTTCTCGCCGTTTATTGATTTCAATTTGAGCAGCAGTGGCACCACCTTGTTCGTCGAGCCTTTGTCCCAAATCTTCAAGTTCTCGTTGCAGTTCGCCGCGATTACGGTCTGATTTTTGGCGTGCTTGACGTTCTTGTTCCAGGTCCTCTTGAAGTTCAGAGATCCTGAGTTACAAAAATACTTACTAACGTTGTCAAAAGCATTTTTTTTGATTACACTATGTTAATTTCAGTTGGGTGCTTCAATTTAATCAAAATTGTGTATGGGAATTTCATAGTAATTGAAGATTCCTATGCTTTTCCTTGTGTCGTTACGAATTTTTCAAGAAACAACCACTGTTTTCCCTCAAGTGATAGGCGTAATGAGGCGAATACCTAGTTTCTAATTCCTTGATTTGTTTTTGAAGCTTGCTAACAAGCGATGCTTCTTCATCAAGTTTAGTTGACGTAGCAGCAAGATCGGCCTCTTTTCTGTAACAAGTCAGCAACTGATTTATCATAGCCAAATTTTAAAAAACAAGTTTTTGTCTTAAAAATCTGCCTTTTTCTGCGTTAAGAAGCAAAATAGGGTTTTTATGAGCTTTTGAATTGGCTTTTTAAATAGTTTTCCCTTCTGTTTGAAACAATACTTTTTGAGCATGTTCTCGACGTCATGTTTCTGTTTGGTGATTTCTTCAATGTTTTCGTTGGCTACTTTGAGGTCTCCTTCCACTTTCCTTTTAGCTTTTTCAAGGTCTTGTTTAACTCGTTTTTCACGATCTGCAGCTTCCTCCATCTGGAAATTTAATTTAGCATTTTATGGCAAAAATTTTAAGCATTGCAGTTCTAATTCATGTCTGAAAACTTTTCTATTGAAAGTAAAAAAAACTAACGTCATCGAGTTGTTGTTCCAGTTTTGTTTTCATCTTCTGCATGTAATTAACCTTATCTTCTTCAATTTGAAGGTCTTCCATCAGTTTACGGTTGACCTTTAAAGAAAACAATGATTCAAATTTCGGCCATTTAAAAATTAAAATAGTAAGAAAAATACCATATAGACAAAAAACCTTACTTCTTCTTGGTGCTTTCTTTCCTTGTTGAGTTTTGCCAGACCCTCATCTTGATTAGCCATCTCTTCTTGCAGGGAACGAATATTCTGGTCTTTGGCTGCCTTTTCTGTTTCGCTCTTCCGCAGGGCTGCTTCCATCTCCTAAAAATGCTAACATTGCATTTCATCGTAATTGGTGCGAAGGAATTTTATTTCATGTTTCTTTAGAAAGCTATAGTTATTCCAACAGACCTGAAGCTTTTTCTTCAAGTCTTCAATATCCTTTTCGCTCTTCTTTTTGGTTCGCTCAAGGTTATTGGCCCTTTCTTCCATATCAGCAATTCTGTCGCCAACATCTTGCAACTGGCGTTCTAAATCTGCTTTTGCAGAATTCAGTTGAGCAACTTGTTCCTGAGATTCTGCTAAATTTTGCTTTTCTTTCTCCAACGAATCAACAAGTTCATTTTTCTCACCGATGAGTTTTTCTATCTACAATTGAAAAGTGAAAGTGCCACTATCTTTCTGATAATGATAATAACTTAAAAGGAGTACAATTTTAGTTATCAAATGTTTTACAACTCTAAAAACAATAATTTGTTTTAAAAATTATAGAGGAATTTGGCACGAAGATTTAAATACCTTTTTTTTCGTACCCAAAGGCATTTATATTTTCTTTTTCATTGCTTGTTTACTGGACGTGTTAGCAAACAAATTAAAACCTTATTTTGGATTTAAAGAGCGCAGGTAAAAGTTGACACTTGTAAAATTTACTTCAATTTCCAAGTTCTTCCTGTTAGATTCTTCTTTGACAAGATTTTCTTCCAACTCCTTAATCTTTTCTGATAATTTTTCCATTTCTTCAGATTGTTTGCCAGCTTTAAGTAATGGTCTAACTCTACCATATAGCTTAAACCATTCCCAGGTTCGCAACATGCACCACTGCCGGACATTTCTTTGTACGACAAGCAATCCTAAATTTCAGATGTTAATTAATGAAATCAAAAGTTTAAAAATTAATTATTGAAAGTAATTTTTTCTTGTGGCGTAATGCATATGATGGCAGATTTTACCGGTGAGTTGCTGCAATCTCCTTTTGCGTTCTGCCTGAGCACAGTACCATTTGATATGGGATTGGAAGTTGGTGATAACAATACGAACTTTTTCGTCTCTTAAGTCTTCGAGACGAGCAAGGATTCCTGCCCGGAAGAATATTTTTGTTTCACCGACTTTGAACTCTTCGTCTTTAAGGTTCCCTTGATTGCATAAAGCATCTGTGATTGCAATTGTTGCCTTCTTGGTGTCTGCCTCTTTAGCAACTTCAGCAGCAAGAATAGCATAACGATGTTTAAAATCGGGATAAAGCATTCTGTTGGGGAAACCTTTGCGGCAAATACGAATACCTTCTAGTACACCATTACATGTTAACTGGTTTAATACCAAAGCTGAGTCGATAACACCTAGAAAAACGCTAGCTTCATTATTTTTTGACATAGCAAACTACCATTTAATTGCCCATAATTAGTCCGTACTTGTGGGGGATCATCTAAGCAATTAACTTACCGCTAGCTTTTTGTTCATTTGGTATAATGCAACGGATGAAGTGTGGATGAGTTTGATACAGCATGTTCATCAGATTATTCAGAGATTCACGGTAGATCATGGATACGGTCATAAATGATGCTGATTTTCCCTTCTTTCTTCCACCTTCTGAAAAGAGGCATCGCAGTTTAATAATACTTAAAATTAATCTTACTGCCATAAGAAATTTGTCAATAAACAAATTACTGACCAACTCCAGCTTTAGCAGCTTCAGCAGCTTCCTCTTGAGTTTGATAATCCTTCCAAATTTCGTTGATAAGAGCATTGTTCGTTGAGTGTTTGACAACTTGTACTGCAGAATCGTTCAAGGGGTCCTTATTCTTTTCCAAAAAGTTTGTCGCATTGTACCGTACCTACAGCAAACCAGGAATGAATTATGCAACTTCTTTTTTTATTTGCAAGATTACCAAGGTTTTTGCGTTGATTTTTGAATATTTGATTTCAATTTTCAAATTTTATTACCGTTCCAGCGTAATGAATGATAGCAAAATGAGCTTCGGCCTGTTTTCCTTTAGGTGGCCGTGGTTTCTGGAAGTTTGGATGCTTTCCTAAGTGCTGGTCATTTAGTTTCTGCACGTAGGTCATATCTGTGGCTTTAGGTACGATACATTCTTCATCTAGCATTGAGATGATACCTAATGGCTGAAAAGTATTAGAACGACATTAGATGTTTTTATCTAAAGAAACTTATGTTAAGTGCTGAGACAATTAGTAAATATTTTTTTACAGTGTAGAGAAAATATACTTTTTCAATAAGTTCGATACAAGCTTGCAGATCGAGACCAAAATCGATGAACGTCCACGCAATGCCCTCTCGCTTGTACTCCTCTTGTTCCAAGACAAACATATGATGGTTGAAAAATTGTTGTAGTCGTTCATTGACAAAATTGATCCAAAGTTGTTCGAAGGAGTTAAACTAAAAGTAACAGACTTTTTTAAGTGGTTGAAAAGAAATTAATTAGCATTATATTTTAGTTAGAGATTCTCAAATTATTTTAGAAAAAAGTAAAAAAAAGCATATTATAAAAATTACGTCAAAGATTTCAAAGCCTGCAATGTCGAGGACACCAATGAAATATTTTCTTTCTACTTTTTTAGCATCAAGAGTTTTGTTGCAACGATGAATCAACCATGTGAACATTCTTGCATAAATAGCTTTTGCAAGACCAGCTACGGCCCAGTGAACCTAAACTTGCAACTATCGTCTATTATGAATTTTTAGATTTGCTGGTGCAGAATCGAGGTACAAATGAAGAGTTTAACACAAACAAATTGTAGAGACCTGATCAAGGTTCTGTCCTTTGTTCACCCATTCAGTTCCAACTCGGACTCGTGGTTTTGTTAGTGCTTTTACCAGTTCTTCAGGATCTACACCAAAGCAGAAAGCAGCATTTGTCGCATCTGTAATATTGAAAGTCTACATTAATTCAGCCTCGTTTGATTAGTCACTTAGCTTAGGTCATTAAGTTAATTTAGATCTCTCCATTTTGCCACAGAGTTTTAAGCAGTTAAGTTTTGGCTTTCTACAAGTGTTGAAAATTTTTTATGACCTTCAATTCCATCAGCTTCAGCCTGTTCCTCACGAGGACGTTGTTTGAATTTCATTTCACCCATGTGCATTATACCAGCAACACTTCTGTATAAATTCTGCACTTCTTCATCTTCAAAACCCATAACATCAAAAGCATCCTAAAGCACGTTTATTATTCTGTAGTCAAGTGATTAGCAGATAAATTTTTGCGTTTTTGACTAATTTTTGCGTTAGCAATTTGAAAATGACTTCAGTGTACCTGTGTAATACCCATCTCTTCTTTATCATCAACACCATCAATTGTCAGTTCAGCTTGTGAAGAAAAATGATAATATCGTAACTCGTTCGTGAGGTGAAGATCTTCTAAAATTTTACTTTTCCAGAAAAAATCCATGCAAGGTTTTTTTCAGAAATAAGGATTATTTGCCTTGTTCTAACAGTAAATGAATGGCAGGCACAATAAGGGTTTTTAAAATCTCGAGCTGAACAGATTTAAAGATTTGTTATGTCAAAAGTGTTTAGTTCTTTTTACAGATTATAATTTTAACTGGCATTCAAGATACGGCTTGTAATTCCGTCTTTTTAATATTTTCATTACAGATAAAGAAAGCTTAATTACGACCTCTAAGTTTTGGATGGTAGCCAGACATTATCTGATAGAAGATGTGATAACTTCGTTCTCCTGCAGCTTGCCTAACAACTCGGGATTTTTCAAGCAGATCTGAAGTGACAAATAAATAATTTCTTGAATGTGAAAAGCCTCTGTTCCTGAATAAAAGTGATAAGAGTTAACGAGAGGGAATTGACAGGTTTTGTACCAAAAAGGAGAACAACAGGTCGAAAAGCTAAAGAAACATTGTTATAGGAAAATCTCATTTTCAATTCTAATTATAATAAACAAATGAATTTTTTTGGACAATTTTCAATTGAAACACCACTTGTTAGGGCGTTGTAAAATGTATTTGCGGAAGGCTTACAGTGCTCAATGTCTCCTCCCGCTAATTTTCCTTGTGCTGAGAAATGAGTTCGAATAAATTTGCCAAAACGGGATGAGTTGTTGTTACGCACTGTTTTTGCATTACCAAACGCTTCAAGAACTGGGTTGGTTTTTACAATTTGTTCTTCCAATGTACCCTAAGATTTTTTTGGTAAACTGAGATAAAAAGAAGAATTAAGAAAAAATGCTTGTTTGTTAAAATATTAGGTAGAGATCAGCGAACAATTGTTTATATTATAAGGCATAAAATTTTATAAACACTGTTGTTTTTTTTTTTTTTGTTTTTAAGGACAAATGCTTTAAGCTCTAAAGCTTAGTGAGCCACTATTTAACTTACCCCTTTTTGACCTTCCTCTTTCTTCATTTGTGTAGCACCAACGATAGCAAAGTAAGCAATGACTTTTTTAGTATTTTCTGTTTTTCCTGCACCAGATTCTCCGGTAATCAACATTGATTGATTTTCTTTGTCTGAAACACTTATCATTTCTTATTCGACAATGAATTCTGTTTACGCTTGAAAAAACTACTGAAATTACATCAAAAATCAGAAATGTAGAAGAGATTTAATTTATGCAGTATCTCGGACATTCTTTGGTCCTGCTTTCTATTCAAAATAAGCAACTTTTAATTGTTTTTGAGAAGAGACCAAAATGACGTTGTTGAAGAAATGTCTTGATAATAAAAGGCTTATTTCTTTTAAGTTTTTAGCATGGGTTTTGATTTACACGTCAACTCAGTGGTTACCAACCTAATACCATGTTTCTGTAGGCTTCATCAGAAACTGCAAACAAATGTGGAGGCATTTCGGTTCTTCGTTTTCCCATGTAATGTCTGATCACGCTTTCTGTGTAGATTGGCAGTCGTTTGTAGGGGTTGATAACCACACAGAAAAGACCAGAATAAGTCTATAATTTTGGTTCAGCATTGATATGGTTAATTATCTATTATCTTACACTAAGAAATATCACAAATGAAGTTATTCTACACAATTACGTAATCCAAACACAGCTGCTTTTATAATCGAATTGTGCTTTGCGTTTTTTTTTCTTGCTACAGAACTAAAGTGTAAAAAAATAAAACAACTGAATTAGCTTAAGTACACTAGTCTGGTAGTAAAAACAAAGTTTTTCGAACCCAATAATTAGGCAATAAAAAATTCTAAATATTTTTTTGGGTTGCTGCACTGCAAAAAAAAGTGATTTTTACTTCGAAAAAGAAAATGTTTCTACCAAGTTTTTTGCGCTCTTTCCACTGATATTCTACAAAAAAGTAATTTATCAAATAAATTTTTCTAATTATTTACAGCTAATTAATGCAGTAAGTTGTCGGCTGTTGCAGAAATACTTACAGTATTAAAAAAAAGAATTTAACTGTCATCATTACTAATTCAGAAGAAAAAGTGAAACAAAACTGAGTTGTCCCCATCGACCAACTTACATAGATCATCATTGAGTAATAACGTTCTTTCAGGTTATTTAAAACAGATGCTTCGTTCAAGAACGTCAAGTTAGCCATGTCGTCAGTTTTTCGGAATTTTGGAGGATTCATTTCTTGAACCTCTTCTTTTTTCACTGTCAATTCATTGCCTTTAACAGTGATTACAGTTATTTTATCACCAGTTGCCGATTTGATCTCCGCTGCCACGAAGCCTGAAATAGCGAATCAAAAACGTATTAAAAGAAAGTTTAATTTGTCTGCTAAAATAACATCAAATTTTACTAATCTTCACAGTTAGTTAAAGAAAAATGCCAAAAAACATAAATGAAAAGAAAGATAAAGTAAAAAGTAACAAGTTTTAATAATGTCCAATAACAATGAAAAATGTTGATTTAAAAAAAAAACTCTTTCTTCAAAACTTTCTTCTTTTTTTGAAAATATACAACAGCAAAAACCATGTAGTTGGACAGTGCTTTTTACAGCTTATTGACTTTTCAATCAACACTAAGGTATACTTGTTATAGAATTTATAAACAAACCATCTTCAGCGTCTGGAATCCAGCAGTTCTTTTTGGAATCAAATGGTTGAGCTGCATTTCTATCTCTTTCTTCTCTGCTTACTGCCAGATAAACATATCCCTCATCTTCCTCAAATTTACCAAGTGGTTTTTCGTCGCTACCTTCCATTTCGTTTGAGTTCAACTAGAAAGTTTTTGTTTTACTGCTTCTCTCACCGATTTTACAGCTTATTTATGCTACGTCACTAATAGTAACAATAGTAATATCCAAAAAAATCTTGTTAAAAAATAAAAATGATAACAATAATCACAAGAAATCCTTGAAGCTCATTGCTGCTACAGTAAATAGAAAAATAAAAAACACTGAGAAAAAAAAAGCAAAACAAATGAAGCAGGAGAATAGTAAAAAGCCCATTCAGTTACGACTTTTATAGTTTTCACATAAGAAACTTATTGTTGTTGATTAAAGCAATATCAAACTGCTGCTGTGACGAAAATAACAATTAAGAAAATTGGAGAGCTGATGAAGAAAACAGTAAGAAGCATTATTGAAGCAACTGTCAAGAAAAACGACTTTCAATTCAGCTTTCCTGGTCACTCGTTCACTCACTCACTCACTCACTCACTCACTCACTCACTCACTCACTCAGTCATTCAGCCACCACCGCTATTGAAGAGACTGACTGAACGGCCCCGCAAGTGCAACAGCAAAGCTGCAAGGAAGAACAGCGTCAGCGGCAACAGTAGCAAATTTGCTGCTGATGCTATTGCTGCTGCTAAAACTCCGGTATATTTAGTCAATCCAATCAAAAAATGCCGCTGCTGTTGTAGCATTGACTTATTTTAAACAACCTTTTCGATAAATAATTAATCATTATAGAAGAAAAAAAAAAAAGAAATAAAAAATTGAGAATTTTAAGAGAACTTTTTACAGTAGCAGCAACACTTTCTTAGAACCAATACAGTTTGTGAGAAAGTTGGCAAAAAAAGACTTTTTTGTTTGAAAAAATAAATGAGCACTATTGTACTGTTGCTGGAAAAAAAGAAAGGATACATATAACAAAACAAACATTACAGTTGATAAATTTTCTTAATTTTTGATAATACAAAAAAGACTAAGCCTTTATAACTCATCTATAAGATTTTTTAATTTTTTAATATATTTATTCTTTATAGTTACACCAATGTTTTGATTCCTACAGACAACGTTTTTTAGTTTTTAAATTATAGTACAAAATGATAAAAAAAAAAAAATTTAAATAAAAATTTGAATACAGTATAATTAAGTAGCAAACAAGAAAAAAATTAAAAAATCTTACAAAAGAATTCAAATTTAATATACAAATGACAAAGAATCTTTAATAAAGACTGAGATAAAAAAGTAATAAAACTATTTTTTTTCTAAGTGATCCATCTTAGAAGACAGCAGTTTTATATTAAATTAGAAATCTGCCATTGATAGAAGGATTTTTGAAAACCTTACTTGTATAAGTCTAAAATATTTTTAAAGTTTAAATATTCGAAAGAGTGCGGTACAGTTTAATGAAAAAAGTTTACTCTATTTATACACCTTTTTGCTTATCTTTTTGAGCATGGTACACTCTTAAAAAATGTGGTTTTGTCTTATTATGAAAAAACAAAGTTACTAAAATTGTCTGTACAGCGAGGGTGTAAAAGAAGAATTTGTTGAGATTAGAATAGACTGCCTGATAAAAATAAAACAGTGCAGGCGATAAATTGGATTAGAAACGAGAGCTGCTGATGGAAAACTACAGTTGTTTGGCCTAAATCTTTGAAGCTGCAGGTGGTGAATGGGATTGTAAAAATCAAAGTTTAAACTCAAAAAAGATGATGGCGGAGAAAAGGAAGGAGTGAGGGAAGAAGGGGTGAAAAGTGTAATAAAGGACTAACTGATGGTGAGTCGACTGAAGGAATATGGAAAATACGGGAAATGGAGAAAGGAATTATTTAGCGAGGAATAACAACAAAGGAGATAGGTAGATGTGATGTTGTGATGATCAACTAAAATCCTAAACTAGCTGCTAGCTGACTGACTTCTGTGAGTTGATAACAATGCAACTAACTATAGGAGGCTGTTAGCATTTTTAAATTGTGAAAATCATTGGCCCAAACAGTAAAAAGAATAAAAAACAAAAGCAGAAAAAAAAAAAGATAGGAGGAAAAAAACAAGGCAAAAGCATTTGAGCAAGCAAGCAAGTAAGCAACAAAACAAGTCAGAAAATTTAAGGTGGGCGTTTTGCCTGTAAATGCGCTCTAATTTTGCACATTTCAGTACCGCCCTTAGATCCTCCAAAATAACAACAACAAAAAAACAAAAACTTAAAATAATCAATTTATCATTTTTTGATTTTTTTTCTTCTAATTTTTTTTTTCTTATGAAGCTGCTATTTTTTTTCTGTGAAAATGTGTGTACATTTCTGTATGTGTTTTTCTAAGAACTATAGCTGAATGAAGAACAGACCATGACGTCGGCTGTTCAAATGTACTTTGTATTATTCATTACCAAAAAAACTTTTTTATTACTCAACTTTTCTATTTGCGTATTCTAAAATTCAATCATTTATTCGCAGATAACTGCACTGTTAAATTTTTTTCACATAATTACCTTATTTTTGCCAGGTTTTTCTCTACAATTTTTTAACTGTTTTGTTTTTTTTGCGCCTTTTATTTGCTTATTCGTTTCGCTTGCTCAACAATGACGCTTATAATTACTCCAATTCTTCAGAAAAATCTTACTGTAACAACGATTATTCCAATATTGAAAAAAAAAAAAGGGAAAAGAGAGGAAAAAATTATATGTTAACAGATTAACTTTTACGTTAGAGAAATTGTGGTAGGGTTTTGATTGGTTTGATACTCCTTTTTTTTTTCGGTTAATATTTGCATATAGACATCGTTGAACTAAAACCAATTGTAACTGTTCTCTTCCCAGCAACTGCGCTGTACAATATTACAATCAATTCATTCAACTTGGATTTGTAAAAAAAATTTAATGTTTTTTTTTTTTTTGGCAATTTCTACTCTTCTAATTCATTTTGAACTGTTTTTGGCCGTATCGCATATTACACTGTATTCAAAAAGTGTTGTCAATTTTGTGCCAGAAAGGGTTTATTATAAAAACAATTATCTTTTCTTAGTATCACCACTTTTTTTTCAGGAATACTATTGAAAGCTGATAAAAAAAAAAAAACGAGTAAAAAATTTGTCGATTCTGTAGCAGTGAATGTTATGTTTTTGATTTGTGATTTTTGACATACCGTTGGCAATCAATTTTTCAAAAAAGCTTTTTGCACGGAAGTTAGTTTCAACTATTTCAGATAGTTCTTCTGCTTCTTTATGAATTTTTTTCCTTTTGATTATCTAACTGTTAAGTAAAACAGCATAAACCTTCTCTTGTCATATAAACTAAATTAAGTTATAGGTTTTGTTCTTTCTTTTTTCCAAGAAAATTATGCTACTATATTGATATTAAAAAGTCAATTTGCTAAAGAACTCTTATTTCAATTCAACATCCTTATTTACCGTTGAGGCCCTTCGTAACAACTTTTTTTTTTAAAGTAAATATTGCATAGAACATAAATCGTTACAGTAACAATTAGTTTTCAAAGATTCTCAGTGTTCAGAATTATTTGAAAACAACTGTTGCTTCTTTCCCTTTTCTTTTTCTTCTCAATTTTTTTTTCTTTTTAATGAGATTTTCCAATCTGTAATTTTTGAATAATCAAAAACAAATAAATAAATAAATAAGATAATTTTAGGTTTATCTTGTAACAGCAGAAATAGACAACTGAAAACATCATCTGTTCTATGGTACTTTAACTGATCGCAACTTTTGTCAGACTGCCTTGTTAACCTGTCTTGCAACGATATGTTCCACTAAATTATTACAAAAAAAAAAAAAAAAAAACACTTGCATCTTCAGAACGACAAAGAATCATTGTTCTTTGGTTAATAATAAATAAAATTTTTATGACAAAGGATAAACTGCCTTAATGTGCAAAGTAAGAAAGAAAAAAAGTATGCCTGTCTTTTACTATAATCAAGAATTTCTTTCTATTGATTTATTGGGCGTTCTGTATTGAAGCCGCATTGCATAGGTACGAACAAACAGAACGGTACAGTTTGCAGTGGTGAAGTGTCAGTTAAAAACTTTTGCCGAATCTTCCTTCTTACGCTGCTTTCATGCCTACGATAACTTTTTACCGTACGGCAACTGTTTAACCATAAACTACCGCTACACAGTATTCTCCAGATGCCAAAAATGGTAATATCTTCTGACTCTAAGTTAAAAGTATTTCCCCTAACTAAAACGACACATCGTATTAACGATTGTAAACTGTAAGCAACTATTTGGCAACTATATCTCAACGATGAAACTGGTGCCTAAAAAAAGTGCTTTTAAGAAATGGCTCGATTGACCGTCGTTATTTGGTCTTGCAAAAAAAAAAGTCATTGAAATAAAAAAATCTGATCACTTTATTTCCAGCTTTTGGTAGACTAAACCTTCTTATGTTTTCCAATTATACAAGCCAGTTTTTACAATTATCTAAGTAAATGCATAAGTCTTCCGTATGCATACATCCTCCGTTTACGAAATAGACTTTTATCTAAAATACTTTTGACTGAAAAAAAAACTATTTTTTTGAATTTCTTCATTTTTTTTTTTTTTTTCGTTTTCGTTGTCATTGTTTCACGACACTTTCGTTTATTGAAAATATGGCATTATCTAAAACCGCAGAGGTAATAAATTCATTTTTGTTTTGACATCTGCTTCTGTACTTTCCTTATGCAATTGATTTTGTGCTTTATGGATTGCTTATAGTTTAAACTATTTTGTTCTTATTGTCTCTACAACTACGAAGTTGAATTTGATTTTGTTGTTAAAAATTCAGTGGAGTTTTCTGTGAACTTTTTTACCGAGCAGCTAATTGACTTTTGAAAAAATTTTAATGGTTCATTCATTGATTTACTGTTTCTAACAAAAATAGCAACACTGACAAATTTGTTTTTAATAACCATTGGAAGTGTCAATCTTCGTCGCCTACGATTTGATAAACATCAGAATAATCCTTTACTTGTTATTTCGTTGATAACATCTAACGACTGCTGTTTTAAAAACTTGTTAAAAAAGTTTGTCAACTTTATCAC